AAAATATATTCAAAGTGTTAAGTGAAAAACAATTTCAACTAAGAATATTGTACCCGGCAAGATTATCTTTCATATGGGAGAAAAAAAAGACAAAAACGTTCTCAGATAAACAAACCTAAAAGAATTTACTGATACTAGACCAGGTCTCCAAGGAGTGCTGAATGGAGTGCTAGACCAGGAAAACTAAAGGTGGACACACAGAAATAAAAGTACAAGAAACAGCCAAGAGAACCGCCAGCCTGGTGGTCGGGACAAGTCCGGGGTTGAATGTCAACTTCCAGAGTTTAAACGGAGAGATCAGACCACAGGAACACAGCAAATTCAATAGCAGAGAGATTAATTACATGAGACTGAACTAATGAAATGCAATTTTTTACTTTAGACTAAAACTTGCTGATTTGATTTCCATATTTAATGCTGAAGGGAGTGCTATACCAGGAAAACTAAAGTCAGACACACAGAAATAATAGTACAAAAAACAGCCAAGAAAATGGCCAGCCTAATGGTGGGGACAAGTCCAGAGTTGAATGTTAACTTCCAGAATTTAAATGGAAAGATCAAACCACAGTAACTCTGCAAATTCAATAGAAAAGAGATTAATTATGTGAGTCTGAACGAGTGAAATATAATGTTTTTACTTTAGACTAAACCATTACTGATTTTCTTTGATGCTTTGATTTCCATATTTAAGGATTTTTGTCTTCTCTTCAACTGTTGATAGGGTCATCTACCTACTATTTGAACTGAATCCTAATCTTTTTCCTGGCTTTAAGTTGTAAGCAAATTTCTCTTAACATTTTTTTATTTTGGTCTATTAAAACGAAAACTTATTAAATTAAAAATGCATTAAAAATACCCATTAATACTTATTTCATGAGTGCAGTAAGCTATACAGCCCCGTGAGGTGTTACTGTACAGTATGAGGAGAATGGAGGAGAAGGGATTGCGGCGTGACCATCCCCCCTGGGGGGTGATTTCTCGCTTTCTGTCTCTATGTCTTCTCTGTCTGTCTGGCGAGCACACGTGCCCTATAGCAAAAACCTCTCCAAAAAAAAAAAAAAGTTACTAAATGTCGGACCGCTCATCAGAAACAATGCAAGTGAGGAAAGGATGGGAAAATATATTCAAAGTGTTAAGTGAAAAACAATTTCAACTAAGAATATTGTACCCGGCAAGATTATCTTTCATATGGGAGAAAAAAAAGACAAAAACGTTCTCAGATAAACAAACCTAAAAGAATTTACTGATACTAGACCAGGTCTCCAAGGAGTGCTGAATGGAGTGCTAGACCAGGAAAACTAAAGATGGACACACAGAAATAAAAGTACAAGAAACAGCCAAGAGAACCGCCAGCCTGGTGGTCGGGACAAGTCCGGGGTTGAATGTCAACTTCCAGAGTTTAAACGGAGAGATCAGACCACAGGAACACAGCAAATTCAATAGCAGAGAGATTAATTACATGAGACTGAACTAATGAAATGCAATTTTTTACTTTAGACTAAAACTTGCTGATTTGATTTCCATATTTAAGGATTATTGTCTTCTCTTAAACTATTTCTTTTTTTTTTTTTTGAGAGGTTTTTGCTATAGGGCGCGTGCGCGCGCCAGATAGAGAGAGACAGAAAGCAAGAAATCACCCTCAGAGGGGACGGCCACGCTGTAATCCCTTCTCCTCCATTCTCCTCTCGGGATCTTGGGCACGCACGCACACGTGCCCAGCATGAGTTCAAGCCACCGGGTCCGGGACTCGAACCGCAGTTGACTATGTAGGAGTCCAGCGACACAGCCATTTTGCTAACTGCTGGTCCCATCTTCTCTTAAACTATTGATAGGTTCATCTACCTACTATTTGAACTGAATCCTAATCTTTTTCCTGGCTTTAAGTTGTAAGCAAATTTCTCTTAACATTTTTTTATTTTGGTCTATTAAAACGAAAACTTATTAAATTAAAAATGCATTAAAAATACCCATTAATACTTATTTCATGAGTGCAGTAAGCTATACAGCCCCGCGAGGTGTTACTGTACAGTATGCTCACTTTACTCACTGAGGTTCATGCCTTAATCAAACATGTGCTCATAAATATGTATATATCAACTGTGCTTGCTATTGAATGTTTTTAAATTAATTAATATCTTTAGTAAATTAACAAAATGTGAAATGAAGTCATGGAAAACAACTGTAGCTATCAGAGACAGTGTGGAGAAGGGGGCAACTGGCAGAGGGTGAGAGGCAGGGAATCGGGGGGGGCAAAATATGTAAGAGAACAAGAAATAGAACATGATTTGTTGCTTATAACACGTTAGTAATACCCTTAGTTGAGATGGAAAGTCTCATTTCGTATAATGTATTGATGTACAGTAAATGACTGTAAATTAACTAACTAATTAAATAAATAAATACAGGAAATAGGACACAGAGCACTGTCCCGAGACGACCTCGGTTGTCTGTTCCTCTGTCCTGGTGTAGGCCGAAGATGTGTTTCCTGCACAGTTGTGAAGACACTCTTCTCTAAAATGATGCTCCTGTCTCACCAGCCGCTCTCCAGGGATGACGGAGTGACAGTGGGAAGGGAGAGGCCAGAACGCACGACCCCAGCCTCTGCCGGGCGCGTGACTTACGCCAACTCACTGCCCTTCGCGTAGAGCCTGTCCCTTCGTTTGGAACCTGAGGGTCCTTGGACAGTTGCAGGCACTAAACGGCCCCTGCTAAGAGCAGTCAGCACCCTGCCACTGTTCACCAGAGCCGAGGGGCAGAAGCAACCAGGACCTATCGGTAGATGAGCGGACCGACTTCTCCGGTTCTGCACACAGTGGCATGTGCGTGACCCTCAGGAGGGGGCTGACGCACACACCACTGGACGGACCTAGGGCACCGAGCAGTTCGGGCAGGGAGGGCGAGTGTGTAAAGGGCCATTTCAGTTTCGGAGGGTGAGAGCCGTGACGGACGGCGGTGCCACCCACACAGCAGGCGGAGCAGGGCTGCTGGCCCTGACGCACGCGTGCTTACCCTGGCGTGCTTACCCTGTGTGCTGTGTCTCTGACTGTAGTTTACAAAACACAACATGCTCTACAACTCCAGAGCTGGCCCGGAAGCCACTACGTGCAGGCTCAGAGGGCTTCTGGGCCTCGCTGACCTGGCCTGGCAGGCGGTTGATGGCATCTAGTGCCCCGGGAAGGAACTGCTTAGTTTCCGTCACAGCAGGAGAGGAGTTGCCCACACCTCTCCTCCGCCCTGGCCACCAGCTGTGCACGAGGGACTCTCCAGAGCCAGGAGAGTTGAGAAAGATGTGCCCCCAGGTGTTGAGCCTCCCGAAGTCAGTCTTGAGAAGCCCTTGGGGTGCTGTGGATCTGACTGGGGAGTGGGACCCAAAAGGCCCCTCTTCCAAGTGTGGATCAAAATGTTTTCCCTCCCTTCAGACTGGGGAGTAAACACGAGCGCAGGAAACAGGTGCTCATTGTCCCTCGCCCCACCTGCTCCTGAAGGACAGACTGACCCGGCGCCAGATCCAGGATACGTGGATGGACCTGGGGCTGCCCGGCCAGCCGGCGCCTCCGCAGCTCTTTCCTGCTCCATGCTGGGGCTCAGTGGGGCCTGCAGGAGTCCACCCCTCCCTCCCTGCCCTGAGCAGAAGGACATGTAGCCCCAGGTTTCCAGGGGAGGTCTGGAACTTCCTACCGCGGAGGCTGAGTCTTCATCCAGGAAGAGAAGTCGTGCTGGAAGGCGAGGGCCTCGGCCTGGCCCAGGTCGGAGGTGCCGTGGGGCTGGATCAGCAGCAGGCAGGCGCTCTGGCCCAGGGGCACGCTCGTCACCGAGAAGTTGTTCTGGGCGTCACTCCAGTGCCGGAAGGTGCCGGTGCCCGAGAGCATGTGCACAAGCACCGAGGTGCCGTTGTCCACCCAGAACTCCCGGGGCGCGGCCAGCAGAGAGAAGCCCTTCATTGTCGCTGGGACCCAGAAGGAGACCAGGAGGAAGTGAGCAGGGCTGTGCGCCGATGGGGCAGGAGCCCAGGCCTGGCTGCGGCCGCACAGGCCCCACTCCCACCGCCTCCGCCTCAGCCTCCCCCGCGCCCCCCAGGCCTCTCCATCCCTGGGCCCCAAGCACTGCCCAAATCGCCCTCTAGGAAATTCAGCCATTGGGTTCTGGCAGAAGTCAGTACCGAGTGAGACACGGGGTGTGCCAGGAGCCTGTGGTCACATCTGCCACCTCCAGGGCCTGCCCAGTACTACCGGACCAGGTGAGCTCAACCCAGATCTGGCCTGCTCTGAAGTCAGTGTGGCCTCATGTCGCTTTTTTTTTTTTAAGATTTTTGTCAGAGGGCATTGCACTGGCTAGAGAGAGAGAAGGAAAGTGAGAAATCACCCCAGGGGGCACGGCCACGCCTCAATCCCTTCTCCAGTCTCCTCTCAGGATTTTGGGCATGCACACACATGTACCTAGCGTGATTTTCAAGCTGCCAGGTCCAGGACTCAAACTGCAGTCTGCCATGTGGGAGTCTAGTGACTTAACTACTATGCCACCTGCTGCTTCTTCCCCCTTTCTTTTCAATGGCTTTCATTTTCTAGAGCAGTTTCAGGCTTGCAGGAGGCCACCCGGGTTCCCCAGCGCCTGTCCTCCCAGTTCCACCCTCCCTTCACGATCAGAGACCAGGGCCAGGCATGCGGCCCCGGGAGGAGCATCCCTGGCCACCAGGAACAAACGTGGGACCCAGGGCGATGGACGCGGCCCTGGGCCTGGGAGAGGGCCGAGGTCTGCCTCCCCGCTTACAGGCCATGCCAGCATAGAGCTGGTGGGTGCAGAGGTGCCCACTGCCAGAGCGGCATGGGAGAGGACACGCTGACGCCCCAGGACGGTTCCTTGGGGTCTCCGAGACAGGAGCCAGTCCTGACCCTGACCCCACGCCTGGACATGCCCTCCCCTGCAGTCTTCTCATGTGTCTGGTCCTCTTAGGAGAATAAGGGAAGAGGGTGAGCCCGTCACAGAGAGGGCCCCGGGCATGTGGCTCTTGGAGTCCAAGGAGAGGTGGCTTAAAAAGAGCCATGTACCCCCTCTTAATGAATCAGAGGTCCCCAGTCTGAAGGTGGGGGTCTGGGGGCACACAAGCCCTGGACGAAGACTCTGGACCGTGATCTGCCACCTCAGCGCCCTGACAGTGAGACGCAGGGCCAGCCCCCATGTCTTCCTGTCCAGGTTCTCCGCACCCTGGTGGGGATGGAGCAGCCCAAGGGAGGGTGCAGGCAGGAAGTGTGTCATTCCTCCTCAAACACTCCTTCGGGGGCCCTGGGTGCTGCCCCCAGCCTGGTGGGAGACTTTTTAGTTTAGGGGGAAAAAAAGAACTAATTATTTTTTTCTCCAACAAACTAAAACAAAAAAGGAAGCTATCTCTGAGAGAGATGTGGGGGTCTGACACAAGGTGGCTGTGCTCTCCTCAGCCAGACGCACTCACCCCAGGGTTAGGGGACTGCCTCAGTTTGAGTCTGGTGCCAGGAGACCTGCCGGACAAGTCTGAGCCCAGCGACAGCGAGGCCAGGCCAGGGCGCCCTGGAATCTCTGGGTCCCCCTCCTCGGTCCTGGCTGGTTAGACACAGCGGGCGTCCACTGAGCTCGTCCTAACGGCTGCTATTGCCGAGCAGAGCAGAGCCCAACCGCTGCTCACACCCCAGGAAGGGCTGTCTCCACTGGACAGAAGCGGGCTGGGCAGGCCAGCACACTGGCCAGGCCGGGACGAGGCGTGCAGGAGAACGCCGGGCATTGGGTCCCATGGAGATGCGCTTTTCCTCCGTCCCTCTCCCATGACTTGCCCAGCTCTGTGGTCAGACTCTCTGGGACAGGCAACTTCTGAAGCGAGACCCCGGGTGGGTGCCAGCGCCTCTCACTTTCCCTTTGGGACAGACACATGACCTTGTGGCGGGTGGGCAGGTCCAGCCAGCCCTTTCTCAGTGAGCTGTCCTCATGGGCTCTTCCTAGGGATGGCGGACTGAGCCCATCTCCACCCTGCACAGGTGCAGCTGCCAGCAGCCAGGTGGCTCTGCCCTGGCTGGCCCTGGCCCAATGACCAACCAGAGTGGAATCCAGAGGCAGGGCCCAGATCTTCCCCTGGTGTCTTTACCAGGCTGCAGGGAGGTCGCTGTGGTAAGATGAGCACGTGCTGTTTCCACCTGTCTCTCCCGTCTCCACCTGGCTCTGCCCCTCCCGCCACCCACCTTTCCTGGCTGAACCTCATCAAGGTCTCCCGCCGGCCCCACGGTCAGTGTGCCGGCCACGGGCTCAGCACGTGCTCCCCAGACAGCGCCCAGACTTGCATAACCTGCGACCCAGCCCCCTCTGCCTCCAATCCCCACGCAGCCTGCCTCCGGCTGACCTCTGAGCAGAACTCCTCCCGGTTCACCTGCACAGAGGGACGCACTGCCCCCCAGCTCCGCAGCCTGTCCCTCCAGCCCTGCCTGCTGCCCCTACCCCCACACCGCTCTGGACACAGGACAAAGGCCAAGCCAGCACTGCCGGGACACTGGCTCTTCGCCTGCACTGGCCCGTTCCCTCTGAGGTCTGAGGCCTCCCCTCCGTCCCCAGGGGCCCTCGTCCTCCCTGGTACCTGCGTGCAACACTTCTGTCTTGCGCCTTATACCACAGTGGTCACCCACAGGCTCTCCCCCGCTGGCCTGTAATGAGTGCCCTGGGGTCAAATCCCACGCCGCCTACCTCTCGCCCCCTGGGAAGCCTGGCTCTGAGTCACAGGGAGTAAGTCCTCTACTCGTACTTGGTGAGCCTGAAAGCAACCTTCGTAGTTGGATGTTTGCCCATGTCTCCCCATGAAGCGGCGGCTGAGCAGGTCAGTTTGTCGCTTCTACATGGCTCAGCAGCTCAAGGCCCTCCGCGACCTTCTCAAGAGACACACAGCTGTCCCTTCTGAATGCGGAGCCGGACGGTAGGGCCAGGACTGTGGTGTGAAGCCAGGTCCCCCGGGCCGTGCCATCCTGAGCAAGAAGCTGGCCTCTCTGAGTCCGCATTTCTCCCCAGGAAGCAGGCTCTGATACCTCTCCCCCATACCATAAGGGATCCGATGATAAAAGCAAAACTTGCACAGCGAGTGTGGCCGCAGGCCCACAAGGGGTGCGATCTGAGGCCCCAGGGCAGCAGCCACTTCTCTTCTGTGTGCGGGGTCTCCAGGGATGTCCTCACAGCTGGCCCGCTTAGCTCTGCCGTGCATGGAACGCCAAGGCCACAGAGACAGAACTGTCAGGGCCAGAGCCGCCCGGAGGGCCTGCCTTACCTTGGAAGTGGACGTAGGTGTTGAAAAGCAGGGTGCTGTCTGCGCTAAGTCCCCGCAGGGGTCTGTTCATCTTCCAGCCCGTCACGGCCTGCATGAACCTATTGATCTTCTCGGTGGCGAGGTCTGGGTCAGTGGACATGTCCAGGGAGCGTGGGAGAACGACAGGGGCGAAGAGACCCAGGCTCTGCACGAAGGGCCGCTGCAGGCGCAGGCCGGGGGCCGTGAACCGGCCCACCACAGTGGACAGCAACAGCCGGGCCTGGCCACCAGCCCCGCCCTGGGCCACCAGAAGGCCCTGGATGGTCTGCAGCGCCGAGAGGACCTTGTGCCCATCTAGCCGGGAGGTGCAGTTCTGGTCCTCGGGGACACCCAGGAACACCTGCAGCTTCCTGGCTGTGGGGTCCAACGCCCCCAGGTAGAACGAGGCCAGGGTGCCAAAGAGAGCCGTCGGGGAGAGGAGGGCCCTGCCGGACGTGCTGCGCGTCTCTTTCAGCGCCTTGTACATGCGGAAGCCCATGAAGTTGGCCAGCATCCCAACATCCTTGGCCCTCAGCGAGTCCTCACGCTCCAGCTTCCTAGTGGCCAGAGCCAGCTGATCACGCAGGGCCTCCTCATCTACAGGGGACGTCTTGGCCTGAATCGGGACTGGCGTGAAGGCCGGGTCTCGGGGCACCTCTGCAGCAGCTTTCTCCAGCTGCTCACAGCTGCTCTTGCTGAGGAAGAGGAGGTGGAAGGGGTGTATGTACACCCGGTCCGCAGTGGCCAGGCCAGCCCAGGCCAAGAGGCAGAGGACAGTGGCCTTCAGGCTCACGCCAGCACGCACCATCTCTGAGTGGAGCTCTCACTTCTGCGTAGCCTGAAATGTTTGGCGAAGGTGACACGTGGTTATTAAATGCCTTCTAGCCAGACTCAGCCATCCCCTCAGCCCTGAAATAACAAAGGGATAACGGGGCCGGCCGTGGCGTGGTGACCGAGCTGGTGGGGTCTGCATGGCCCAGTTCCACCCAGAGCTCGAACAGCAGGTGCAGGTGCATGCATGCCCGAAATCCCGAAAGGAGAGGAGAAGGGCTTGCGGCATGGCCATTCCCCACGGGGGCTGCCTTCTCACTGTCCATCTCTCTCTCACAAGTGCACACGCCCTCTAACAGATTAAGAAAAGAAAGAACAAGAGAAGAAATAGACTCCATGCTCCACAGGAAACAATCTATGACCCAGATGCAAAATGCAGGTTCTAGGCTGAATTGCGTCCCCTTCCAAAAATTCACACGCTGGAGTCCTAACCCTCAGGACCTCAGAATGTGACTGGATTTAGAACTAGGGCCTGGAAAGAGGTCACTGAGTTAAAATGGGGTCTTTGGCATGGGCCCCAGCCCAGTGTGACCAGCGTCCAGTAAGAAGAGATTATTAGCACAGAGTTGCACAGAGAGACGGCCATGTGGGGACACGGGGATCGGGGCACCTGTCGGCAGGCCCAGGACTGCCCCTCAGAAGGAGCCAGCCCTGCAGACACCTTGATCTTGGGCTTCCAGCCTCCAAGACTGAGACAATAAATGTCTGTCATCGAAGACTCCCTGTCTACTCCCTTCCTCGGGGGACACCTGCAGACTGAGTAGGCTGCCTCTGGCTGCATGTCCCTGGCTGCATGTCCCTGCCACCTGGGCCACTCAGCAGGTCCATGTGGAAGCAACTCAGTCCTGAGGCTGCTCTGTGCTGCTTGGGGGGGGGGGTAGTTCTATCTCCCCATGGTCCCGACATGCAGCCGGGATGGGACCCCATTCAGCCCAAACCCAGGCATCTCCACTCTTTCGGCCCCGAGCCAGTGCTCAGCTACCCCTGCCTCGTGGTGCCCCACAGAATCCCGAGACCTTGCCAGCCAGCCCCCTCACCGATGTCTTGCGCCCAGGCCAGGAAGAGATTTTTAATAACTTCCCAGCTGACCCTGATAGGCAGCAAGCCTTAGACCCTGTGCCCTTGCACGGGCCACCCTGCTCCCTCGAAGCCCTGGGACTGCTCTGGCGGCTCAGCACAGTGGGCTGCCTGAGCTCCCGGGAGGGAGGGTCTTGGCTGGCCCTGTTCGCCTACTGCAGCTGACTTCCTGGTTGAGGTGATGGATGTTCGTCCACTCGGCTCTAACAATCCAGACCACACCCCTCATTGCTCGCAGAGGGCTTCCCTCTGCCAAATGTGACTTCGGTCGGCCCCGGCAGGAAGCCGGGTAGGCCATCCTGGGAAGTGTGATGTTTATCACTGACCCGAGGTCACCTTGGCCCCTAGCTGCTCCGGCCTGGCCCCCGCACACCCAGCTCCTCCCTGCTCTGGCTTCCCTGGCCCAGGTCTGGAGACCTCACCGGCCCTTGACACAGAGTCTGCCCAGGCGTCCGGTGTGCTTCCATCTGCTCTGGCCATCCAGTCGCCAAAGGAACTCTGGCTTCCGGCCTCAGCCACCTCCCCATGATTCAGCTCTGTCCCCTGTTCTCATGAAAAGCAACACAGCATGGGAAAATGGACTCCTCACGCTCCCCGCCCCTGCCGGCTGTCCTAGCTTGCTAGCTCACACATCTCACCAGCCAGAGTGCATCACAGCGTCGGTCCCTGCAGGGACACGCAGCCCCCAGTACACTGGCAGGACACAGGCACCGTCTCGGGGGAAGCAGACGCCTGGCCGTCTGGGAGGTGGAGGTGGCCGTTTGCACTGCTAGAATCTGCTGTCTCTTACAGCTGCAGGGCCAGAGAGCCCACGCTCAGCCCGGGCCGGCCTGACACCGAGTCCTGGGCTCTGTCTCACCCCGGCCCCCCTCCCCACAGCCCTCCTCGGTCTCCTGCTCACAGCTCTACGGCTGAATGAGGTGGCAGAGAGCCCCTGGGCATCGGGAGGTTCTGCCCTGAGCGCTCTCCCTGGCTCAGCTCCTCCGTCCTCATGGCAGCCACCCCCCCCATTTCCAACTTGGACACCCTGTCGCCACTGTCCCCGCCAACCCGGCACCCCCAGCTCTCTTCTTTTTCTCGACTTTCCTTCCCACCATTGCATCCCCCGTGTCGCTCCACGTCCTGAGTTATGGCTTATTACATCCAGTGTTCCTGTCCATCCCCGTAAATGTTCTTGCGAGTGCGGGTTCTCACGGTCTCACTCACTGATTTAGCCCAGGTTCCCCAACAAGCGCCCGGACGTGGCGGTCCTGGACGCGGACTGCAGAATGGGTTAGTTAGTGACCACAGGTCACACGACTATCAGAGACAGAAGCAGGCCTCAGAACCGGCTCCCCAGTGCCACGGTCCACACGCTTACGCACCAGCCTGCCTCTGAGAAGAGTCAGTCTGCCGTCCAGTTTACCCCCGTGGGGAGTACCTCATGCTGGGTCACCTTCCGAGCTCACCGCAGCCCACGAGAGGCGAAGCCCTGGCCTGGGGACGAGTCCATTCACAGAGAGCAGATTGAGGGTCTGGGAGGCAGAATGACTCCCAGGCTGCCTGGTGGGGGTGAGGGTGACCGAGCCCAGTGGGGACCCAGACCCCACCGCCAGCCCACTGCGGGCCCCACCGCTCTGCCTTCTGATGGGAAGAGGCCCCGGGGACTCTTGTTCTGAGCATCTGCGTCAGGGGCCCTGGGGACCCCAGCTCTGCTCAGGGGAAGTGGGAGGACCGGCCGTCCTGCCCCATTGCTGAGGGTGAGTAGTCCACAGTTTGGACAGAGGGTGGGCCTGGGAGGGAGGACGGCCACGTTGGGGCATCTGGTCTCACTGTGGGGGGAGCTCTGTGGTCATGTCCCTGCAATGTGCAGTCACCACCAGCCTAGATCCGTGCTCCAAAGCCATTTGCCCCTCTTCCAGCAGCTCCTCCCGCTGCCCACAGGCCGCCTGGCCTCTGCTCAGGCCCCAGCCCAGCCGCAGTGAGGGGTGGGCAGGGCAAGAGCCAGAGGGGCCGCTTACCTCCTGCTTTTGTCCCAGGAATGAGGCAGCGTCTCCCCTGCCCGGCCACCCGGCCCCATTTATACCCGATGGGTGGGCTGGAACCCTTCCCAGTGCCCTGTGCACAGGCGGGAGGGGTTGCATCACTCGCCCGGCCCCCACCGCACCGGGAGGACGGGCGCCAGCAGCGGTTTCCCGCTGGCGCCTTTCCGGGAGGCTGCGTGGATCAATGTGTAGGCCCTGCCGCTCAGGGCTGGCGGGAAGGGCCGGTTACACATTCACTGACCTCTGCTGGGGCCGGGGCCATTGCTCAGGGACCGCCCCGGCGCATGCTGGCCTGAGGTGTGCCCCAGACCTCTGCTCACACCTCTGTGATGTGCTTCGGAGTCACAGCACGGGCCCTCGGTGGGGGGCAACATGGGGGCTGCCTGTGACCTCGACTGGCTCCAGACAGCCCCGGGCACCTGCTTCACCCCAGTGGGACGCGCCTTGGAAGCTCCCGTGTGGCTGGAGACCGTTAAACACCCACGGAAGTGCCGCGCAGGGCTCAGTCAGAGCCGGGCGGCGTCGGGGAGAGGTCCCGGTTCAAGACACAAAGGCTAGGCTGCGCTTAGCAGCCAAAGACGAGACGGGGCCGGACACAGCATGGCAGGGACATGGGGTGCCACGCCAGCCTGCGGGGTTTGGTGTGAGAGGCAGAGACGGCCCAGAAGGTCGCACAGGAGGGCGCGCTCTCCCTGGTGTATGCGGACCCAGCAGAGGGCCGATGGACCTGGTCTCCCACCCCTAGCCATGTGGGCCCCAGCCCTGCTCTTCCTTCTGCTGAGAGGAGCCCCAGGGGGCCTTGTCCTGCACATCTGTGTCAGGGCAGCTCGCTTCCCTCGGCGTGCAACCTGAGCGTGAGGAACGAGACCTGGTTGTGCTTGCTGATGTGAAATTAGAGTTTAATCTTTCCTGAGCATTTACCCCGGCTCCCAGAGGCCCCGATACTTCATTCGAACAACAGTACCAGGGCGTGGGCACGCCGCTCTCTAGACAAACCATGCTCACCCTTTTTTATCGAGCTAGAGAAGCCTAGGGAAGAGGTCCTGAACCCCGAGTTCTTGTTTAACTGTTATTCTGTATTATCTCCAAGTGACCCAAAGCGAGAAGAGTGGGCACATGGGGCCATGGAGTGGAAGGGGCCTCCCAACGGGCCTGGAGAGCACTCCCATCTGAATTTTCTGCCCTCTCCATTGTCTGGGACTGGCAGAGTGACAGGACCATGAGCTTGTGGCCCCGGTTCCTGCTTCTCCCCCTCGGTGCACCCCCATCCGCTAAGCATCCCTGAAAGGCACCGGGGCTGACGGCTGTCAAGCAGCTCAGGTACTCCTGCCTCTGGGAAATCCTTCAGCTCCTGCGGGCGGCCTGCTCACTAGACCATCTCAGTGGCTGGCATGCGGCTTCCTCCACTGACGTG